CTTTATGCTCACAAACGTATTTTTGATCATCTTAACATTTATTCCGATCTAAACATTGCGAAACGCATTCATTGTAAATCATGTAATGTTAAGTAAATAAATTGTTAACAATTTTCTCACTCATGCGTACAACTGTAGTGTTGTTAAAATGAAAGTGGTAATGTTATTATTATTCAGAGAAAATTACATTTTGTATTAATTCTTATCAAGTAATTGTAAATCGTTTTATCATGTACTGACCACTAAAAAATACAAATCTAAAGCGAGGTTCGCGTATACCATAAGTTTGTATTAATATTAGAATTTATTTGTATTTCATTTTTTTTTTAAACTCAAGTTCTTGTAAACTTTTTAATTAACTCATTTAAATTTGAAAGGGTATGACTCTTAATCATACATTGATGTGATGTGAATAAGGTGAAAATGTAAAAAATGTTATATTGTTTACGTTAATAGTGTTCATAAATTTTTTATAAACTTGTAACTAAATGACAAAATGAAATTTGAAATTTTGTATATCAACTTCTTATCTGTCCTACTTTTTTTCGAATTCTCTATTTTTATGCTCGCACACAAAATCAATCGCTTTTGAACGTGTGCATTAAAAAAAATTAGACTTCACATTTAAATGTACCGTTTTCGAAATGGTTTCATAGTAATTTCTTTTAAAGATTATAAGTTTAGTTTTAATTCTAAATTATTTTTCTGCACTTCTACTTAAGATTAACCTAATTACTTTTTATTATTGAAACGGATGACTTTTTGTCACATGTAACACGATTACTTTTTGTAAATACATTATGATAATAAAAAAATTTTCTTTTAAATTGGTTGAATTATCGCTTCATAAGTTTGATTTTACAAATCACATTAATTTATATAAAATAGTTTTCTTTGAATATCTACCGTGATTTATTATTATTTTAAATATTCTGGAATCTAGCAAAAATAGTTTTTCTAAAATTTCAAATAAAATAAAAATCGTCTTGTTGGCGGCAGCACTGTTGATGTGTTTCTCTTACCCCGTGTGTGTGTGTGTGTGTTGGTGAAAGAGCGGAAGGGGGGGGCACATCGTTTTCCAATCCTCTGTGCTACGACGACGTTCCTTTGCTGTTTAACCTGCAAAAATGGTGAGTGGGACGCAACGTCGCTAGTCCGTTTGTTTAGTAATTTTTTGTATTAATTGGTTAAATAATTTTACGACCAGTGATCCAATAACACATTTATTAAAATTAGTGTTGAATATAGTTTTTAGCGATAATACAGGTCATATTGTTATTAACACTTGGTCCGTGCCATGTGGCTCTTTGGGGTTATAATTTAAAAGCGACAAGTTTTGTGATAAAAGATAGTTGACGCAAATTGAACTTCCCAAAGGCTAAAAAATTTTATTTTAAAGATTACTAAAACGCGTTTAATATTTTTGGCGTAATTTTTTTGTTCCTATCCCTATGAGTGAGTTGTGTGGGTAATTTTATTGGAAACTAGTTTGGTGTGATGAATTACTTGGATCTAAGAATCAACAAATAACAAAATTTATAAAGGTGTACTAGTAGGCATTGATATTTATTTATCTTCATTTCAGACTCGCAAACGCAGGAATGCAGGACGAGCCAAGAACGGCCGTGGACACGTGAACCCGGTAAGATGCACAAACTGCGCCCGTTGCGTGCCCAAGGATAAGGCAATCAAAAAGTTCGTCATAAGAAATATCGTCGAGGCTGCTGCTGTTCGTGATATTACGGACGCTAGCGTCTACTTCTCGTATCAGCTACCTAAGCTCTACGCTAAATTGCACTACTGCGTATCATGCGCAATTCACTCTAAAGTTGTACGTAATAGGTCAAAAGCTGATAGGCGCATCAGGACACCCCCAGTGCGTGCTTCCTACAATAAGGTAACCATTCATGATACAATGTTTGTCAATTACTCGGACTTATTCATTAATTCAACTCAAAACTGTCTTGGTTTGCTTAATCAACAACACATTCCTCAATTGTGGTGAGAGCACAGCAGAGAAGTTCAGTACAGACTTGGGTTGAATAAATGGTTATATTAAGTTATTAACATGGTCTATTTTTGAGTATGCTTATATTTTTTAATTAAATACGTATTTTGTATACTCTACTGTAACAATAGTTCTGAAAAAAATTTTGTATACAACCAAATTACGTTTACCACTTGATAATTGGACACAGATCAAATTTTGGAGTATCAGTTTCAAAATATCTAATTTAAATAAAGTTTTTATTTAAGAATAAGGATCAAAAAACAACTGCTTTTAAATAATATTTGGATGGTGAAGTAATGCTTTTTTTATTTGTTTCAGGATATGCGTCAAGTTCAACCCAACAGAAAGTAATTTTTACGTGTAAATTTTACAAATAAAACGATATAAAAATCTATCACAACGTCTTCATTATTTCACATATCTCGTATCTTTTATTTTAATTAAAACAAATAAGTAGGAATACCTTATACTTGAAAAATTATTTGAAATGGTACTAAATATTGAGTTCATCAATCAGTTACAAACTTTATAAACATATGTGTATCGTAGTTGAGCAACAAGTTTCTTAATTTAGTAGGAATATTTGTTTTATGAATTTTAGTCCAGAATGTCAAATTTAAAAAAAATTTTATTCTTTTCGTTTCACAAAATCTAATTATAAGAAAATTCTTTCAATGATATTTTCAAATATGTTAAGTTCAAATGATGCCCTGAAATATTACATACATTTGTGTTAGCATTCACTTAAATACCAAATGTCTACTCGATAATATACTTTCTAAATTTGGCATATAAATTCAATTGTTTAAAGTACGTTTTAAAAATATGTAATACATGTTAGTTTTAAAAAATCACAATTACTTTTTGTAATGTATACAATGATGTAGTAAACAAGTGTAGACTGTTACTTTTAATAAATTTATTTAACACAATTGTTTCAAGGTAATAACCATAATAAATTAACTTGAAAAACGTGAGAATCATTTGTCTGCCTCTTCCATTGCTTTCTTCAAAGATTTTTCAAATATCTTTTTGGAGTCGCAAAAGCCTTGCTTAGTTTTTCCAAAAGAGTTGGGTCCTGCAGATGTTGGTGTATCCCTACCAATATTTCTCATTCTCATCTTAGCTTCGGCTGGCATCTCTTCTGGCTCATCATCATCAGAATTATTGAAAACAGAAGCTACAGTGTGCTTCTTAACAGGTGCTGGCTTTTGAAATTTCTGTAACTCCAAATAATCAATCCAAATATACCCCAATAAATCGAAACATGATCAATAAATATAATACTAACCGATGAAGTACCCAGTTTCAGCTGAATATTACCACCACCTTTTTTTGAGTCATTTGATTTTGGATCAAAACCAAAGGCGAGTTTCTGTCTGTCTGACGGTGCTTTCTGAGAACTACTACTGGATAACTCGCGTCTGTCATGGGATGCAGATCTGATGGGTGAACGATCACGGTTTCTCGACTCATCCTCGTCACTATCCTCTCTTCGCCTGTCTCTGTCCTCTGCTCTGTAGGCACTTGACCCTGACAACGTCAAACACTGGCAAAGTTCAGATCAAGTTAAATATATGGCAGACGAATAAACCCCGAAAGCTTTTGCACGGCGTTTATCATACCGCTTCTGTGTAAATAATGCACTCTTTAGAAATAATGAAGGTCTAATTATAAAGAGCCAATAAAGTTAAAATGTAACTTTTTGTTACTGGGGTTATAATTCATAATTATACCTAAGAAGTACAGTTTTTATACAATTAACTTTATACCTATATCACAAAAAATTCATTACTTTGACATTTTAACAGTAAGTACATAGTCAATAGCGTCACTTCACAAAAAAGTAACAACCTTTGACACATTATAACCGATGTTAATTCTAACGACTTAAGCGGTGTTTATACGAGTACTCATATACATATAGAAAACCAAATGAGAAAATATCAACAAAACCTTTTCTGTAATCGTCATCGTAGTCGTCATCTCTCCGGTAATCGTCTCGCCTGCTGTTGTAATCATTCCTCTTCGACATGTTTGCTTGTCCAAGTATTTCAACGCGTTCGCTGGTTTACACACCTTCTATTTTGTGCACTGCAAAACTCAATCCTTCTCTCTAGGCTAAGCCCCAATAAAGTATATAAATAATCAGATACTCGTTTTAAGATTAAACTCATGCAGCTACTTATAAGTCTAAATCAGACTTAAATTTCCAGACCCAAGAGAAGAGCAGTCAGCCTCCTCAGCAAAGCAAAACTATATAATAGCGCAAAAGTCACCAGTCACCATTCTGCCTTTTGCCCAGTCGGGGCCCCCCGGGGGTCGAGAGAGGGAGAAACAGCTAAATGCGCTAAAGATGGCGCGATTAGGTTATTATTTCAAATATGCATCAAATCTGTAGTTGTGGCAATGCGATTTCTTGAGACATTTAGAGCGATCAATTACTGATTAAAGTTTACCTTTTTTGCTAACTATCGAATAGGCAATAAAGAAATATTTTGCGTCTTAGTTCGGTAAAAACTTAACATCGATTGATTTAATGAACGCAAAGTTGTCTCGGGCAAATGTAAAACCACATTTTTTGATGCAGTGATGTTGTACATGTTGTACCAACAACAATCGTCTAATGAAAATCTCTCATAAAATAAACATGAATATTGCACTTGCGTGAACGAAATAAATTATTGATGAAATAACCAAGCTATAGTGTATATATCATTAAAATATCGTTGATGAAATATTTTTTAATTTAGACTAACATTCAATGTTATTGCTAACCCATACTTTGCTACACGAGAATTACTTTATTATCGTGTTGCAAATGATTAAAAAAAATACACATGTAATGATGAAACTTTTTCATAGAAAGAGCAGTATATTCAGTATATATATAGTATACATCGTCACATACACAACCAGACCACCACCATTTTGGAGTTGTTTGGATTTGGAATCACCCCTCTCTCGCACTATATTGTTATTAAAATAGACGAGCAATACTTACAACTTACACTCGTCATTTTTAGGTTTAGATAAGCAGTACGTTATACTTAACTAAGTAAACAGGATTTTTTTTTCTCGACATGTTTGAACAATCACCACGCGATTTAGGCATCAAGATCTACACTTTTCTCTATGTTTTTGTTTACGCAAACATCTACCTTTACTTGGCTTTGAACGTCGTTGAATTCATTATTAGAGCAGTCACCGAGAAATTGACGGATACATTTAACGACATCATCTGTAGCCTGAACTTGACTAGCATCTACGAGAATCCAAAATTGAATTAGGTATTTAATTTACTACTAGTACATTTACTTATTTGTAGTTCTTCGAGGGGGTTAGTAATTAAAATTGCTATTATTATACACCATTAATTGATTTTTTTTCTTCTTTATCAGGTACTGCAACAATAATAAATAGCATTGCCACTAGAATAGCATTGCAATATTATATTTATTTGCTGTGATAACAATGGTTGAAGAAACTATATACACTAACAACAAATTTAAGGTAAGTCTGTTATATAGTTTTTCCTGGATATCCATAACAATAATGTGTATATAGAGATATACGTGTGTGTGTATGTATAATGGTGGTTGTCCATCGCTATTTATAATTATATCTATTTTCACTTTGGGAAATTAGAACAAAACTGCAAGGCCTCGTCCAGTTTACATGTGGAATGTACTAGATGTACAAAAGTGGCTCAAAAGACATTGCAGTGATTATTATCAGTCGTACTATGAAAAATTCTTATATGTAAGATAATTTACGTTTAATCTTGAAGAAAAAATCCACTTCTGATGGTACCTTTACCTGTATGTTTTCATGTTGTAGCACGACATCACGGGTAAAGCTCTATTGCGATTAAATGAAAATATCTTGATGCGTTTGGGTATAGAAGATGAAGAACACAGAATGGACATTTGGAGGGAAATAATGAAACTTCATTTGAAAACAAACATGATAGAAATCAAGGATATACAACGACGTAATAGTATGAATGATAATTAACTATATATTATTTTATATTCTTGCCTGCACGAGAGTCAATTATTTTTATAATGCTCAGGTAGAATATAACATAGTAGATTAGGTGTCTACGTAGCATTTGTAGAGGATGCCTTGAATCGAAATGTAGTCAAAGGCCTTCTCTACTTGCTCCCATGATGCAGTTTTACATATTACTGCAGACCAAAAGTGGAAAATTAACAAATGCCACGTTTGGCTTGTAGATACATGTAAAAATATTTAACAGATAATGCGATGTAATAAAAAAGAGGCTAATTAACATTTTAATAATCATTAAATATATGTACAAAACAGACTTTATACAATTATGTTGATAATACTGCCAGAAATGGGGAAAAAATCAACTGATTGAAATACGCGTTGCTTGTGAAAAAAAAAAAAAAAAAAAAAAAAAAAAAAAAAAAAAAAAAAAAAAAATACAATAAATACACAAGTCTGTCCGCAAAGTCGATATCTGAGTTTCTTATGACGACTCCTAGCTCACTAACTCCCCTTCTCCCCTGTTGCCGTAATTTCGACAGAGGTGAGGGGCCCCATTGATTATTGTTTATAAAAGACAGAAAAAAGCGAACAACAAATTTGTCTTATGTTTTGTTGAAGTAGTAGTGCAATACATTTACTACTAGCGATCCACCTCCTAGGAGTCCTAGGGGACCTTCTGGCATAGTAAAACAGGAAAATATCGGGCGTGTGCGAGTAGTGAATAAAAAGGAAATCGTCGAATTTGGGTATTTGTGTATGATTGCTGGTGCACAAAATTCATACTAAAAAGGCTTCGCTTCCGCCAATTGACGAATAATAATTACCGTCGGATACTTTTCGGACAGACCTCGTAATATTTAAAAATATGAAAATTTTTGTAACGTGTTATCTTGTTGAATTTTTTCAGATCTATAATTTTTCTTCTCTCATGAAATATCATGATTATCGAGATTCACCAAAAATCAAAATGACTAGATTTGAAAATCATATTCTAACTTATTCTTAAAATGCTTCTTTTAAATTTTGGAACTGTTGTATTGCCAAGTCGATTGGCAAATCAAATCTATGCTTTGTTAACTTATCTAAAGTGTGGAAGGCATCTTGAAAGCCTGAAAACAAATAAAGTTTATTGAATGTTTAAAAAAAGAAATCCATTTCAAATCATCTTTAATGTCATCAACGTACCAGTCTTTATAACGTAACTCCAAGGCATATAGTAATTTTCTAATAAATACTGGCACTGAAGTATAAGTTTTAGCCAAGAAACTAACTTGTTTGTACTAAAAATATAATATATATTTTAAATTGTGATTTCGAAACAAAAAAATTTGTTACCTAGCAGAATGTTGAAAAATTCTTACTTTAAAGCAGCACATACGAAAGCCTTGAAATTTGAATCAAAGCCTCTTTTGTAAGGCGAATGCATAGAAATTATGTTTCCAATAGTAACTAGGAGATTCTAAAATCAGACATGGAAAATAATGGTACACACTGACCAATGAGTTCTCGAGATTATACATTAGAAATAAAAATAAAATTACTTGTTTACATGAAGCAGATTGTCCTCTATGAAGATCCAAATTGAAGCTCTGAGACAGTTTTTGCGCTGGACTAGAATTATAACGGCGGCCATTCTTCACCTCGTAGTACTTGAGAATGATTTCCCAGGCGTGCATGGAACTGCCAGTGCTGTGTGTTCTTGTCGCGAAACAGCCGACGAAGGGAACGACACTTGTCGCAGTGGCATCAGTCGTGGCGCCGTGCTGCATCAGATCTCGAATACACAAAGCCAAATGCTTCCTCACGGCCGATGTGATTTTAACATTGTAATGACTGACAGGGGAGTCTGAGTCCGAGTTGTAAGCTACATCTTCGTGTATACTACTTCTGTATTCGCTTTCTGCTAGGACTTCAAGTACGTGCTCAACGGAGATGTCGAGTCGCGTTCTCAAATCTCGCCAGCCGTACACAGATTCTTTTTTCCGGCTGTGATGAGGTCTCTGGCCACCACAACCGATTTGTGACATTATGTACATATGCAACAACGCTACGACCTTTCCTACTGTGCTTAAACTAGCGGCGCTATTGTCGTTCGCTGAGGTTGGATTGAATGATCTTTTGGCTTTGTATGGCTGTGCTTGGCCGTGAGTGTGAACTGGACAAGCACAGGTGCACGCTAATGTTTCGGTACTTACTTCGCCCTGCAAATAGTTTATGAACCTTTCCAAGTCGGTTATTTGAGTTTTTAACTGAGTTATAAGCTGCTCCTTCATTTTTAATGGACTGACGATCTAAGACAACGGGATGGATTTTAAATTACTTGAAACAATTTTTTAATTTGATTTAAGAATTAAAAAGTAGCTTACTTGATTGATCGCCATATCTACTTGCCATCTCAAATCGTCTGGAGAGAGCTTAGATAAATCTTCAATATTGACATTTAATTTTTCTTTCAAGTGACCTGTTGAGTAGATTATAATTAAACCTTTGATTGAAAAATACTGTTGGTCAATCAGCTCGATTGGCTGATTTTAATTTCAATTACTCACTGATTATCAAGTTCTGCCTCTCCAGTACAATACTTTGGGGCAAATCCGCATCACCAGTTTCGTAGGCATATTGCTCCAAGTCTTCCAATTGCGATTTCAGTTGGCTTATCAGTTCTTTTTGTTTTGCCCTTTGCATTTCCATTTTCAATTTTGACTCTCTGTCATCTGACCCAGAAGACTTTGAAAAATAAATGAACCCAAATAAAATGACAAAGTAATAAGGCTACAATGTTGATCATCACATATTTCTTGTATCTTACATCACGTCTGTGCGATGGGCTGGATATTGACGATTTAGTATCAAAAATAACATTGCCGTGAACGTCAGGAATCCCTCTAAACGCAAACTCTTCCAGCTCTTTCAATAAATTTTCCTTCTCATTGGTGGGAGCATCGCATATCTGTTTCAGTCTGAATTGCACCTAAATTGCAATGGCATCAAAAAAATTATTTACTTTCGTTTCAAAGAGAAAAAGAAAAAAAATCCTCTCGTAATACATGTAAAATTACTGTGTACAACCTGTGCAAAGTGTGTGGTCAGCGCTATGAGTGACGAATTGAGCATTTCTTGTTCTTCCTCCAGCATCCTGAGCTTTTCCATCCCTCCAAAGTGGCCGCTAAAACAATATATACACACAAAAGTGTCTATTGATTCTATCAAAGGGGAAATCTTATCAGTAGGTATCACGAAAAAAAACCTCACCTCTCAAATTTATCGTACTCGTGCTTGTATTCCTCCAGCGCGTAGCCATCGTCGTCCGGATTGGCAGTGGCACCGAGAGGCTCCCACCTTTTACCGGAGGGTCCCTCATTGTCCTCGGCAAAGACATCGAGCTCCAGAGCAGCAGCAGCACTGATACACGCTTCAATCCCCTCGTCTTCCTCGGCCAGCGTCACCTCACCAGCTGCAGATGATGCTCCTGCAGCTTCGTAGCTCTCGTCGTCCATCCTCTCTCTTTGTTGTTACTCCAATAATGCTTATTACTACGTTCCCACATATAAAAAAAAAACAAAAAAAAAACACCTTGCGATCGTTGACTTTTCCTGCCTGCCTACGATTGTTGGGTACTTTTTGTGTGCACAAACAGGAAAGCAGATAAGAATTCAAGCTTATCTATAATGTATACTACTTCCTTCCAGTTGAGTTATTCATTCACGAGCATTTTGTTAAATATATACTTACAGTAGATATGCTGTACCCGCGCGTTAATAAAGTATTTAGCTAGTCCACCGCTGTTCGTACCACTTTCTCTCTCTGACAACGAGCTTTTTTCGAGTCGAGTCCATCATTGCGAAGACAATCGTAAATAGCGAAATATGTCACGATGAAAACAAGGTGTCACGCGTACATGATGATTGATTTTTGATTACTCGCGACCGTTTTATACGCCGAGCTGATGTTTTTCGCTCCCCTGCACGAGGACTCAGGAGGAGGAGACGAAATATCGATCGGCCTCTCTCCATATATGCGTGTTTATATGTGTTTCACCACCCCCGACAACGCACAGGCAATCTTTATTTTTTAACTGGTGGGTACCTATAATAACGTCTGTTCGATAATATCTCGGATGCTTTGATATCAACTTTGATACTTTTTCACCACCATACTATCTCTCATGATGAGGGTTGAAATGAAACGCGCTCGATTGAAAAAATGCCGCTGCTCCGAAAATTCGAGCTTGCGAGCTCGAAAGGTCACGTGGGTTGATTTCAGCTGTCGTCTGCTGTCTCTCTCGATATATGTAAACACAATATCATCGGACGTCTGCATCTATACGTGAGTGTAATATAATTTCTGTTCTCGGTTCGCTTTTTATTTCAAAAAAGTTTTTGCTAAAGAGAGGATCAAACCAAAGTCGTACCTTAAGTGTGGTAAATTCTTAGTTTGTCCTTTCCTTGGGTTTTCCTTCGAAAGTACACAAACAAGATGGACGTTAAGGTTAAGGTTTTCAAAATGTTCAACGAAGAACTGGGCTCTGACTTGACGAACTTGAAAAACATCGAGCAGATTCACAAGAAATTAGAGCAAGGCAAGAATAAAGTCGAACAATCCGTAAGTATATATGTAATCATGCTTATACGGTCGTAGAGAACTTTGTTCTTTGTAGCGAGGTAAGCAAATAATTATGGTCATTTACAGCTGTCTTTGGCTTCTATGGAAGCACCTTCGAGAATCCAAGAAGCTGTCCAAGAAGTCAATGATATCGTCTGTAATGTGAACAAAGTGAAAGCCAGGTGTGAGTTGTTGCGCGAAGAAATTGAGGAAAGACTTAAACAAGAAAGCCGGACTTTGGAGCTACAGAGCATCATTGACGATATTTCCTGCTTGGAAAGAGCTTCCTCGTACTTGGAGTTTGTCAAGTTTGTCGAAGATATGAGGTAGTATACTGTTGCTATGTGTGCTTTTTTTGAAGCTATGTAGTTTGTCAGTTATTATTTAATTCGGTTTGTTTGTACAGTTCAGAGTTGGAAGTTTCGTTGACGTCGGGAAACGATGAAGCCTGTATTTCGTCGTATTGTATTTTGAAAGAAACTTGTCAGAATCTTGAAAGCTCATCGTGCGCTAATTTGAAAAATTATCTGCGAAATACCTTATATTACTGGTACGACGAAATAAAGAACAAATTTGCCAGGTGAGTTATTGTTAAATGCTTGTGGAATTGTTTTGCAGAATTTTTAATTCGATCTACTTAAAATTTAAACGCAGAGAGTACGATGAAGTATTGGTTGCTGTAAAGTGGCCTTTTTGCGGAGCTAATGCCAATGCAGCTGGCACGCAAAGTTCAGAATCCCTTGCAAGATTCAAGATACTGACAGAACATTTATTCAACTTGCAACTGCCGTATCCTTTTTTACTACCATTAATTTATTTTGTTGATTGTCTCAATATGATTCTACCTTAAAAAAAATATAATAGGGATAATATGACTAAAGAGAAACCATCAGGTATATCTGTTAACTTTGTCCCGGTGTGCTTGCCGGTTTCTTTGCTCGTCAAACCATTGAGGCAAAGGTTCTTTTTTCACTTTACCGGCAACAGAAAAACCAATAGAGTAGATAAGCCAGAGTGGTTTTTCACTCAAACTTTAAATTATATCAAGGACCATGTCCAGTGGATCGATCTGGTTGTTCAACCAATAGCTTGTATGGCAGGATTCTCAAAAACGAAAGTTAAAATTGAATTTATGAGAGAAATGGTACGAATGGCCGTTGAAAAATTAAATACAGAACTTGAAGATGTGCAGTATGACGATTCTTTGTTTGCCCACGTCGTGGACGAGGCTCTTGGTTTTGAAAAGGAACTCAGAGATTCTTACAAGTATCCACCAACGGAGCCAGCTGCCGTTTTCGTACTAACTCAGGCACAAATTTTCATCAAGTGGATAACAATGGAAAAAAAGTGTAAGTTGCACAAAAAGTATATTGTTGAGTAGAATATTCATGTAACCAAATAATTTTAGATGCCACTGAAAAAATGGATGCAATCTTGAGTTCTGAATCAGCTTGGTCGAAACTGCCGGGACTCGACAGAGATGATTTAAAAATAACCATATGCTCGGATGCATTTCTCACGCTTCTAAACATCATATCAGACAGATATAGACTATTGCCTCAACCAGGGCATAAGTATTGATAATTTTATTAAATATTTGCTTAATAAGTCAAATGGTAACATGAATACCTTCATTTTTTCAGACTGCAGTTTTTAGAACTGCAACTAGAATTGATTGACGATTGGAGGGTGCGTTTGTTGCAATTACTTCATGACGATTACAAAGATCCTTTGTCTTCTCTTAAACCATTGATTTTGAATGCTATTTATTATGTGGACACTGTACTTCAAGATTGGGGAGTTTCTGTTGTAAGAAATAATCATCGTTTTTCTATATTGCAAAATTTAGAATGTATGCGAGTGTTGCTTGAACGTATTTGTTTTCAGCCATTTTTAAAACTCTATTTTTTTAAAAAACAATGTGAAGATGCCGAAAAATCAATGCTCCAAAAGTCATTCTCAAATACATCAATCGAAGAAAATGAAAATGATGGGACTGTTTTTGATGAAGCTATTAGCTTGCTTAAGCGAATCGAAAAAAAGCTCATGACGGAAATTGGCGATGTCTTATTTATGGAAATAAAATCGAAGAGTAGATTATACTGCAATGACAAGTAATACTCTCAGAGATTTCGCAGACATTTGCATAAGTTTAAACATTAAACTGTAGGCACATTTTTCTAGATGGTTCGCGATGCCATCAGATAAAGAATGTTTGCCTTCGTTGACCATAAGCGCTTGTCCAATGTTCCAAGAAATCGCTAATCGCTTGCGTGCTCTTCAAAATGCTCTCGCGCTACCATTGTTTGAACAATCGTGGATGAACTTGGCGCTATGCTTGGACAAAGTAAGGCTGTTTGCATCTTTGTTTTATTTTTATTGAAATAAAAGCTTTTATTTTTAATTCAGTATTAAAAAAAAAAAAAAAACCGCTTTTATGCATAGCTGTTGTTTGAAGAGCTTGTCTTGCAAAATAAATTCAATGATGGTGGAGCTGCTCAATTTCAGTACGATGTCAGAAGAAATTTGTTTCCGCTATTTGGTTTGTACACCAAAAAACCCGAATCTTACTTTCCTCTGTAAGTATCTCCCATACTTAATTTAAAATTAGATGACTTGTGTAATTTTTACATCCCATTAGGATCGGAGAATCGTGCATTCTATTAAACATGTTACTTGGTTCGGTAATTCTATTATTAGAAGCTTTAGAAAACGCTGACGAAGATGTTAAAAAAGACGTTCTAGCAGATGTTAATATTCATCAGCTATCCTCACAGTTGGCAATCAGGGTGCTGAAAACCAGAATGGACATAAGTACCAGATGACAGAGACTGATGTCGTTGGAGATAGATTAAGTTTTGTTAACCATGAAAAGATAACTTTTATAATAAATAAATTTTTAATTTATTAAATTACTACTTGTTAAAATTTTACATTTGGTTGATAAAAAATTTTCTCTCTCTTTCGCCCCTCAACATATTAAATTAATTATTCCATTGTCAGCTCCCAAGAGTAATAATCTATTAAGTGGAAGAAGTGCCATTGCAGTTAACACTCCTTTAAAAGCTTCGTGTCGAAGTTTGGAAAAAGAATACGCTCCTGAAGCTTCAGCTACCGAATGTACACCGATTCGATTCGCCGTTGTTCCCGATATAAGCTGTTGCTCGTACACAGCTGTGCAGTGTATTGGTTCTGTAACTCCTCTGTGAACGTTAAAAGATTATAAGTTACAATGTTGCTTTACAGTTACAAATATACATGCAAGTTCAAACTTACTTTAGATAAAACTTTAATTTTCCATCGGTTGCACTCCATACTGCAATCGTTTGATCAAGAGACGAGCTGATAATTGTAGTTTCATTCAATACTTCTAACTGCAGGATCTAAAAACCGTCGATGCACAATCAGAATTTCTGTCAGCTATTTATGAAGTATCGTGATATTTGAAACTATTTCCTCACCTCGCACTCGTGGCCTTTCCAAGACGCAATTATCAACCCAGTGCGAATATCCAGTATAGTTAGAAAACCAGAAGCTTGACCCAGAGCTACCCAGTGACCACTTGGAGCAACGGCTATACACCTTATCAGCCCAGTAGGATTCATAGATACCTGTACCAAATGTGTCATTTGTACGAATTTTCGTGATAATTTTAATGTAGACCGATCGTTAGACTTTACTGAAAAAGCAAACCTTCATTTCGTTGACGTATTGGAATGTTCGACAATCGATGACTCTCAACGTTATGTCAGCTGTGGCGGCAAGAATCGTCGTTGAAGGAGCTGGACTAGCCACTAATACATTGACGGGTGTAGGCCGTGGAGACTCGGGACAGCCGAGGTACGAACCCATGAACGGATCCCAGCAGTGCACGGCTCCGTCGCACGTCACTGCGTATCGAAGTGATTCCAAGAACGTCATTGCGAGGATTGATTTTTTGTGTCCGCTATACGTATACTGGCAAGATGAGATAACGCTACCATCCCCCTGAAAATGAAAGGGTCAGAAAACACGATTCGAAATTTTACTCGACTTTTCGTTTATCTACCTGGCTTCGCAAGCTCCACAGTTTGACGGTACGGTCACGAGCACCGCTCATAAAGCTGTTTTCGTTGTCCAGGACGTACAAGCATCTGACGCTGTTGGTGTGTCCGGAAAAACTTTGAAGTTTGATTTGCTTGACATTGAACTTTGTGTCCTTGTCGGATCTGCCGATTTCGTGCTCCCAGTAGGCTAACCAGTTTCCTCTTAGCTGTCGTCCGGCCAACGAAAAGGGACTCGATTCTCTAGCTCCTTCGCTCTCAGCTCCTTGAGATCGACTTCTTATGAAATCCTTAATTTTACGAGTATAATATTAGAAACTGGATTCAAAAATATTCTCTTGTTAATGTACACCAACACACCTTCATTTTAATTTTATTACTGATTGTGGATACTTTTCCAAAACCTTTGGCGTTGCAGTCTAAAAATGTTTTATTTTCTGAAGCTGGAAGGTTAATAAGCCGGTGAGAGGATTTAACATTTGAGTTGCCTACTCGGTGGATTGCAAAAACTTACGAATATTAGACGATACAGGAAATAGTAGTTCTTGTTCGAATTTTTGAAAGAGATTACGAATGAGTTGGTGATTTTTTATCAATTCGTCCATAATTTCATCGCTTAGGAGCCGGTATAAGGCTGCATAAGCTTTGTGAGCGAGCGAAGCTGAGAAAACTTCTTTTAATTCTTCAAAAGCCTGTTCATACAAAGTCGTAAGAGTATAAAAAACGAGTTCACACAATAGGATCATAGAAATTTTCTTAACATATTTATTAATGTACCTTGTATTTTTTCAAATCCGAATTACTCGTGTCTTCTGTTGTGGAAGGTGAAAACGATGCGTTAGTTGTCAAATCATTACCTGATTTGGATTGCAAATTACTGGAAATAATTTCATAATAGAAATAAAATCATAGATTTTATTATTTTCTACGTTAATCGCATAAATACAATGTACCTTTGAGGATTACTTTCTTTCAAAGTACTCAATGCATTTTCTTCATTTTTATCAGACTTTTCGCTATTGAAAACTTTTTCAAAAGCCATGAATAATCTTTGAATAGGAACTGTCAAATGATTTTTTGCCATAACGTTACCCAAACGGATTATCAAAATGAATAATGTTTCGAGATATTTATTAGCCAAAACAAATCGAGCCATCGCTCCATTGGGAAACGAAAATTTACTAGTCGATAAGATTCGAACTGTCGGGAGCAATATTGATTTTACTATCACTTCCTGTAATACATTATAATATTTCTCTTTAATAAATCGTTCACTATAATATTAGGTTTTATTGTAATATATAAAATTTAATTAAAATGTAAAGCACTTGCATGAATAACGTCCATCAACGATGTATCGTTTAAATACGGAATCACATGGATAAGCAAGATGAGACACGAGACCAGTCCACCTTCTAAATTCGGAGTTAGTTTGCGTTTACACTGCGCTACTAACTCTGTCATGTGGGAGAGGTATTGCGAAATAATAGTTTGTTCCCCATACAAGCCTACATAAAAATATGTGTGACATTTAATCGCCTCACGAGAATCAATTCAAAAAATAATTCAAAATCTCATACCAACGATGGCACTGAGGCACTCAAGTACCTTAACAGCATTCACGTCACCCGACAATTTAAGCCTATTGGCTTCGAGATCGTCAACCTTTTCAGCAGCGCTCGTGGTAGACGTAACGTTATCAATAATCGGTGTCAAATTTTCACGTCCAAAGTAGCAGAGGGTCAGCATTCTCAGAAGATTGCGGGAAAGGTATCGAGAAGTGAGCACGGGTCCGAGCCTGTGCGACAACCAAATGACCGACTCAGCGCTCATCTCCGAGGCCGTACACTCGCTATACGTGAATCGACGGCGTGTCTGATGTTCTTCATCGTCTTTTTTGCTTGACGTATCGTCTTCTTTATGCACGTAGACAAACGATGACTCCAGCTCGGTCGAACTACTACCCTCGTCTTGAATCGCGCTACCTTCGTACTTTGAAGGATTATTTGATTCATTATAGTACGACCCAGAAAACACCAGATCCTCGCTCGTTGTCGTGCTTCCTACTTTACAGCAAATGCTATTGAATTCCGGCATGGATTTCCCGGACGTAACATCTAAAGTCTTTGGTATGGGAATGGTCGGTGATTTGGCGCTACTTGAAAAGAGCAACTTTGCCTCGTTTGAGAAGTCCTCGATTTCGAGATTAAAATCAAAATTGAGACTGTGAGGGGTTTCAACGTTAGGGGATGGTGTGACAACGTCCTCCGTTTCCATGACAAATACATCTGAAAACGACAATATTGAGAGAAGGTATGCAAATTAAGTTATATTTACAGAAATGACAAAATCCTTACCGTCGTTATTTTCAGAAGCACCATCACATTTTGTACTTACTTCGGCTTTACATTCACTCGACATCGAAAGTATATTCTCTGACTCAACGGAGGAGTCTTCGTCAAGAGGGGACAGAATGTTATCTACATCACTAGTACTACCAGTTAAATCACAATCCCTAAAAATTAAATTTTTCATGACAGCATACAAGTATATACATACGCGTTAAATTTTTTTTTTTCAAGTCAACTCACTTTAAAATGCCTGCTTTATCAATATTAAAATTTGACGAGCCCAATAGGTGATTTCTGTAACCACCTACAGCCTCCACTAGAGGAGTTATGAAATTCTCTAAAAAACACTTTAAGCCAAGACGGACCATCAGTTTTAGCAAAAAACTTCTATGATATAATCTAACAGTCTTGAATTTCGTGACCAAGTTTCCAGGCAATATGGTTGAAAATGACAACTTATCCATGAGGGAACCTCTGTCATAAAGATTCATAATAGGAACCAAAAATACCTTTGCAGTTTCTCTTGGGCCGATGGCTCTTAATCGAAAAAAAAAAAAAAAAAAAAAAAAACATCACNAAAAAAAAAAAAAAAAAAAAAAAAAAAAAAAAAAAAAAAAAAAAAAAAAAACTCAAGGAACTTGGCTAATACTTTTATACTGATGTTACATGTCGGAAAAAACAGAAAACAAAAAACCTTGTATATTTAACAGTGTCAAGTTGTAACTTTATTCACGATCGAGATAGAGAACGAAGATTCAAAAAAAAAAAAAAAAAAAAATTAACATCACAGCAAATTTTATTAAATACAGCAATTAGTAATCATATACCTAGCAATAGGATCGAAAAGGTGCCAAGCAGCAAGAACAGCGCTCAGAGGCTGTTCAAATATTTCCTTGACGTGAGGAACAATCAATTGGATACTCGTCTCTGTGGCTATTTCAGTTTGTGGAAGAAGCTTTTCAAGCTCATTGGCGATCGCTTTGACCTTGCACTCGTTTATTTTACACAGAAATATAACTTTCGTTTTTTCAAGATTTCCATCGTCCTCGAGACTTTGCGTCACTTGATCCAATTCACGACACAAATTATTGTAGTCTTGAATCATTTCGACGACTCCGTACAAATACTGTAGATACTTGGAGGAGGGAAACACTAGGCCCGTCAGGATAGGCTGAAGAATTTGATGCGCAGAAGGTGGTGGTAATCCCATGTATGTTACTGTCGGGTATCTACAAACGTTAGTATTTGCTTGATCTGATGATGTCGAGACTACAATTTAAGTGCACAAATAAGTAAGCGATCCAAGAAGAATTTTTTCCAAGTTTGACGAAAGATTTTGAAAAACCTACCATTACCATCATTTGCCTCTGTAAAATCAATGTTGTAAGTTTTTGGCAAAGCATCGATCCTCAGTAGAAGCATCACCGCATTTTGCACGCACTTTGGCAGCGCGTTGGGAGAAATTTTAACTACATTCAGACTAGCGCTCAGTCGATTTTCAAACGATCCCTTATCGACCTTCCATATCGCCCGAAACTTCTCAGCGAGGAATATTTCAACGATCAGACAGCCCAGTATTTGTTGCTCCTTCACCCTGGCCGCGGCCAAAACTTGCCTCTGATTATTCATTCCATCGGATGATGACATAATCGGCTGGTACACTTCGTGGCTGACTTTATTGATAAAGGCATGTGTCGTCTCAACCTGAATCAAAGCTGCGGCAGGATTGAAGTCCTTTGGCAGAAGAATCGGCTGCTCGTTAAGCTTCTCTTTGACCGATTTTTCCTGATCGTCTACAAGGGGCAGAGAGCTGCGCGATCTACTGAGCAGTCGGCCAAAAGTCAATGGAGATGCTCTGATGGTGTTTGACGATGTTGCACCTGCCGCGTGAAAAAGCTCTTCTTCCTCGTCACCCGAGTTGCGATGAGGCTGCTCCGAGTCAGCAGACTTGCTGATAAATTCGTCACTACCCATCATTAATCTCATGCTGTACTCGTCTGCGGAGAGACTGCGCAGTCGAGGTGGAACTTTATTCCAATAAGGGGATTGTACGATTTTTTGGGGGTGTGGACTAGTAAAAAGTTGCACGACTCCACTGTTGGAAAGATTTGTGTGATTGTCGACGAGATGTAAGCAGACATTTTTCGATTTGACAGCAGCTGAACCTGAAAGCCTGCAGAACGTTTGTAAAGCTCGTCGTTAATTATTCGTTTGATTTTTCTAATTGTAAAAATAATATCTTACTTGTAGCCAAAAGTTAAGTCAATCCACTGATGTAATCTCTCAGAGACATAAGAACTTTCTAAGGCTTCATGGTGTTTTTCAATGAAATCTTCTGGTGATGTTGCCCAGCTTGGGATTTCCAAATCAGGTAAGTCTTCGTGAATGGACTAAAAAGTTTTAAAGGGTTAATCATAAGTAATTGGAAAATTTATCCAAAAATGATGATGATTTTCTTTGCCTACTTTAAAAACACTAGGATCAGTGAAAAATTGTGGTATGCATTCATCTGGCGTCCAGTCAAATAATCGTTGAATCGATGCAGGATATTCACCTGGTACCCACAAAGGCCTCACATGCTTACACAAAATAGATCTTGAATAACGTCTTGAAAGATAAACGTAATAAGTTATTTCTGACAACACATCTGAGACATGATAACCCACCTAAAGGACATTTCATGATTAAATACCACTTAAAAGTATAAGACTTTTTTATTGAATGTTCATTTGAATTACCCCAGTAGTTTCAGAATCGAACGTCAGATCAAGCTGTCTGTCGCCTTTGTTTAATCTAAATTTCGATTTTGCGAAATCTCTCCAATTTCCGCCACATCTAGAGGTGAAATCCGTTACCCATGGCATAACGTGATGACAGCTCGGATCACCATATCTCCTACCAGCTAAATCGTTTAGAGCTGTCAGATAATCAAAATTGCTTAATCTACCATGCACCCACATCTCACAGAGTGCGCTAATATTCAAATTCTTATCGCTTTTTGTACTAGATTTCTCCTTGACCTTAATACACTCACTGTCACTCGATTTTTGCAATAAGTAAATATTATCTTCTATATTTGGCAAAACCTAAACAAAATTTTTTTTTAATAAATAATTTGTAGAATCGATAATTGCTTTGTAAACAAATTTGTTGATTTTCTCTTTCAAACCTGTATGTTAAGATTGTTCATAACTAGCACATCACTAAGTGTAACTTCACCCAATAATAAACCACAATCATGCAAATCTCTAGATAGCCTAAGTAGCTGGAATGTAAGAAAAAGGGGTTTCGCGTAACTTGCTGATATCGCAGACGGACTGTATGTTACACACCTGTAAAATTTTTGTGTTGGATTACTTCAAGTATATCGTGGCGAATAAATCATTTTTAAAACCTAAAGTGTATCTCACTCTCTTAGGGAATATTTGGCTGTCTGTTCGTAAAATATTACAAAGGCAGACTCTGTTTCTATGGTTAAAACGGCTGGCAATAAATTACAATGATTCTTATTAACTGCAGCAGCTTTTACAAGCGTTACGTTGTTATTTTGGTACTGAATTATAGAACAGCCGTACATTCGCGTTATGATTTCCTTTATTATTTCTACATAATTTGTACATCCTACTATACTTATTTGCTCCTTATGATCTGATGTGATCCATGGAGCTGTAAAAAGTGTTAGATTTTTTTTTACAAATCAGTAAAATAATTTATCATCAATTGAAGTTGTTAAACAAATGTTATGTATAAAAAAATTACCATAATATCGTTTGTAAAAGTCTTTCCACAAATTTTGGTAGTTAGTCTTGGCCACATAATGTAATACTTGAGAGAATGTTAACTCTGTTTCTGCTTTTGAACTAGTTAAAGAACATCTTTCTCTTGGAAGAGCAAAAGCGTTTTTATGTTTCTTTTTGTATACCTAAGTGGAAATGGACATTTATTTGATGAATGTATTTAAAAAATTTTGGAAATCACAATAAAACTTCCAGCAATATTATACCTTGATGTAAACTTTTGTCCAGCCAGGACCCAATTCAGCTAATGAAGGTTGAGCAGCTATTTCGTCAGGATTAAATTGGTCGTGCATAATAAAATCAACAGGATTAAGATTCATAAAGCTAGTCAACCACTGTTTGTGCACAGTAGCACAAATCTTTTCCTTTGTCCATATCAAATACTTTTCTGGGATTTTCAGTTCTCTCTTTAATATAGTTATGCTTGAAATGTGTTCCTTCATATTTATAACCCACTGTTATGCTAAAACGAGTTGATCTGGTGAAAGGAAGTATATAAAACTTTCCGTCTTCATCTGACAAAATGACAGTAATAATCAAATTATGAAACAGCAAATCAATGTAGATTCAGTTGAAATACTGTTGACAAAATAATGAGCCCATTTGTTTTGGTTAAGTATACAAAATACAAACAGCCCTTGTCATCTTTCGATCTTCTCTCTTTGAACAGCATTATATAGAATAACTTGAAAGCGATTTATCCACAAATATGCCACTGTAAACGTTATTTATGATGACATTTTACTCTTTTTTATGATCTTTGTTTTTAGAGTTGTATATATACGATCTCTCTCTTTGCAAATTCATGCAGCAGACAGCAAAACAGCTGCCAAAACTATATATATATGTCACACATATATACACATACATCGGGGTTTCGGTTTTCGGTAAAATTAACTTTTTTTCTTCCACACTAATTGCCTATTTCAATTTTGTTCTTTAATTAAAATTGAAAATAATCACTCTTTCAATTAAACTAACATGTAATAAAATCATCTTTGGCCCTAATTTCGAAAAATAGTAAAATAAGTTGTCAAATTATATAATATCCAAATGAGGATCCATATAGGAAAATAATTGATGTACAATCTCAGGAAACTGAAAAACGAAAATAAGGACCCTTAATTGTTCAAACAAATTTGATGCTGTAGTTATTGCAAAATATCAATGCTGTAATCCGCAAATACTGCCAACAGGTTACATAGGTCGTGGTAGTGGTAACGCCGCCTGCAGTGGGTGACTTGGGTGTTTTCCGCAATTGTCATTGGGTGTTTTCCGCAATCGTCACCAGCAAGTAATAGTGGGTTGCGCTCTACGTTACCATCAAGTCGGTAAGTCAACTACATTGAATTAACTGGCGCTCTGTTCCGTAATCTGGCCAGTTAAAATAGCAGACGACATAAAAGTCGAGAAAAAAGTGAAGATTTCATCGCTGTTGACTGTCGACTGCTATTTTAACTGGCCAGATTACGGAACAGAGCGCCAGTTAATTCAAGGTATAGTTGACTTACCGGCCTGACGGTAACGTAGAGCGCAACCTTAAATTACTTGCTGGTGACGATAGCGGAAAACACCCAGAGATGCAGTTGCGGAACAGAGCACCAGTTAATTCAAGGTAGTTGACTTACCGACCTGATGGTAACGTAGAGCGCAACCTAAAATTACTTGCTAGCTACAACGAGAGTGACATTTCCTTCAATTGAAACATAGATGTTTGTTATAGCAGATCATAAATTTTTTTTATTTATCTTTTTAGATTTCTATTAATTCAGTAAATGAAAATGTGAAATAATAAATACTGTGTACGAAGATTGACACATGTATTATTTTATTATGAAAAATCGTCATTAATTTATTATAAATATATATTTACGGGTTATATATATATACAACAAAAATTAGAAAATGTATATTTACATTCATGTAGACTTTTTTGTAAAAAAAAAATGTTAGATATAAAAGAAGCAAAGCTGCTCTGATACTAATTTATTTTTAATTGATATAGTTGATCAACGGTCCGGCGTATTTTATCAACGACGTGTAAAAAATAAGTCAAAAAACTTTATTTCTCCGAATTCTGTAATACCGGTCACGGAATTTGTTTTTCCCGCGCTCTCCTATTGGTTGTCTCTCTCCACACAAGGCGACTCTCTCAGGATCTCTCGGGAGTCTCGGGGGACATTTTTGTAGGTAAGTTGCTGGCGCTTTCTCCGCATCTTCTCCATTACTCTGGTGTCGATTATTGTTTTTTTTTTTTTTTTTTGTTACCTTACCCGCAAAACAATTTTATATCGTTGACTGAAAATAAGCTTTTAAAAATGCAAACAGTGCCAGCGTTAGGTTACGCGAATACTTGTGGGCAGTTGTTTTTTCTTTTTTTTAATATAATAATAAACTTTGTTCCTCTTTTGATAAAAAGTGCACGTCGAATTTAAGTTCACTGACATCCACCACCAGCAATAGGGCATATAGACAGGACAACAGTCAACAGATGCAAACTGTCAATAACAGCCCGCCTTTTTGTGGTCCATATAGGTGAGTTTATGTTTGGCTTGACTTTTAGGGTAGTAATTAATTTTTTAATAAAATATTCAATCTTAATTTTACACTGAAAACCAATATAAGAAGAAATGGAGTTAGGTGCTAACAAAATGAGCTGAGAGTTTTACAAGAGTCTTTGGAGTTTGTGTGCAATATTTTTAAGTAATTTAACAGGGTTGGAATCGTGCAAAAGTTGCAAGATTATAAATAATTCAATTAGATAATATATATCAGATAAGCACTGAAAATGGACGCATATAAGCGCGACGGCCTTGGTAAGTTAACACTCTTTGAATCTAAACACAAAAAAATAATACAAGTAAACTGATTTGAAAAATAACTTCCCTTGTAATACTAAATGCTGCTACTTTTGATGAATATTTTTGTTAAGTGTAAAAATCAGTTAGTATTATCAATACAAATTTATTTACAGAATTTGAGGTGACAGGAGTTTCTCGCAGTGGGAGAGTGCGCAAGAAATCATCAAAGCTGATGGATTTTGAATCATCTAGTAGTGTAATTGAAAGTAAAATTAAAAAACCGAAACTGCAATCCCCACAAGAACAGGCAAGGAAAAAAAAAACGGAGTCACAAGTACAGTCCCCTGTGCCTCATGTAACGCATACCATTCATGTAGCTCAAATTCATCACCCACCTTCTAGCAAACTCAGTCCTGTACAGCCAAGAAAAATGCCTAAACTGTCTCCTATGACTGAACAGAGTAAGAAAAAAATTGAACCCAGTTCAGACTACGAAACGCAGTCTCAATCTACGGCTTCTGAATCAGAGGATGAAGAGCTTAACAAGAGGTTACACATAGCTGAGTACAATAAAAAAAATCTAAGTTTAGATACTGTAGAACTGGCTGAAGATGAAATTTTACCCGCTACTAAAAAAAAGACACCAAGTCCGAGAAAGCCCAAAAAAACTGTTTCTCCCAAACAAGAGGCAAAGCCTAAAACACAAGCTGTAGTTCCAGCAAAACCTGTACGAAGTTTTAAATTTACATGTCACATAATCATAAATTAATGAAGAGTACATGTTATTAAACGTTAGTGATTTTATTGCAGAAAATAAGATATACCGCTTACATGTTGTGGAGTAAGGAAAAAAGGAAAGAATTGTTGAAAGAAGATTCTAGCATGGGTGAGTAAATTTTTGTGATCCAACGACGAGTGATATCACGTGGTTTACTCAATTATTTTTTAACACTTTTTCTTTATTAGAATTTTCTGCTATTTCAAAAAGATTGGGAGAACTGTGGGCTGTAGTTCCTAACATGGAAAAATACAATTGGACTAATCGTGCAAAACGTTTGGCAGAAAAGAATCAAATGATACCCCCAAAAATTTTTAGCATCAAAAGTAGTAAGTTATATTCGTAATTAATGATGCTTTTTACTAGAGTAATGAAAAATGCACCGATACAAATAACAAATTCAATTTTTTTTATAGATCAAATGAATTTGCCTTCAACCAACTCACCTAAAAAAAGCGTGTCATTATCTTTTAATAAATCGCCACCATCTCGTTCTTTCAAAAGTGGAGGAGATGCATTAAAAGATCCTACTAAAGAAATAAAAATGTTTAGAGCCATTGAATTGCAGCCTATAGATGTGGCTGCGTATTTAAGGTTGTTGGGTGAAAGTTTGACTGTTATTGGTGAAAGACTGAAGGAACATAATGGACAAATAACTGTATCTGGAAGCCTTTCAGTATTATTAGATTCATTATTATGCGCCCTTGGTAGCCTGATTTGTCTCACCCAACAAATCCCTGCGATTGGGACACAAAATACAACTTCTCTGTCGCAAACACTTGATAATATAGCTTATATTATGCCTGGTTTGTAAAAAACTTGCACGTTCAATAGATTTATTGTGTGTGCTACAAATTCAAGAGTGTTTTCAGAAAATTTTATTTTACTGTCTTACATTTAACATAAACTGTTAATTTATTTTAACAGTCATCATTTTTGATTAAAAAGAGAAGCATGTCTGTCACTCCTATTTGTTGTATAAAAATGAATTCTAACATGATCGTATTAATTATCATTATTAGTTTGAGTATGTGATTTAAAATATGATTCATTATAATATATTACATATTATTTAAACTGAATGGTATAAAATGAATGTCATTATTAATCACAAAGTACTATCATAAAAAAAATAACAAATATATTTTGATTAGATTTGTGTTTGTTAGCGATTAAATTATTTAAAGTATATTACATAGTATATTTTATTTGAAGGCAATATTTTTACCCAAAAATATATGAATGAAAATTAATTTAAAAACTAATGTGCTCTAAGTATAAAAAGTTTATTTATGTAGTAGTTCATCAGTCAAACTTGATTTTGTAAAGAACGAATTTCATTCGAACTAAAAAAAAAAAAAAAAAAAAAAAGAAGAAACAGAATCGATGATTAATTTTGTAACGCGTTTACAATGTTTTGTTGATTTTGTGTAAAATTTACGATAAAATAAGAATGAAAAACGATAACATATTGTACTGTTTTTTTTCCTTTCCTTATATTGTACAAAAAATCACAGTAAAATTAATAATGTTTTATTATTGTCTATGTTTATGCTAACATGATTATAAATACAATTTTAACACATTAAAAAAAAAAAAACTCGTACTGAACTGGGGGGAGGAGAACCATGCATTGGGGTGATAATATGGGGGTGTTGTGGGAGGGAGGTTCCAGTGTCGGGAGAAAGGGAAAGGAGGCCATCATCAGCGTCAGCGATTGGACATTTATAAAAATCAGCTGCGAAGAGAAGAGAGAGGGGGGAAAGCTTGCTCGCATGATACTAGTATTTTGGAGTCGCAAGTCGTAAACAAAGGAGAGGAGAGGAGACAAAGTAAAAAAACCATCTGACTGAATATTGTTTTGGAATGGTACATAATACAACAGCTGCTCGCTGTCATGACATGACAGTCTTTGGGATGATCTCAATGGCTTTGGATAGACGACACCCAGAGCTTCCGAAGAAGTATTAGCTAAATCATATGACTTGGCGACTTCAGATAGTTCAGAGTGTTCAGACTTGGGATAGTTGGGATGTTGCTGCTACACACACGTACAAACACAAGTGTCTATAGACTCGTTGCCACCTTGCACTAATTTTACTTTACAAGTAAGTAGATATAAAGAAGTCTCGTCTTCAGCTGACATATCTTCTTTTCCAAGTGTTACTTTGTTTCTTGTAAAGAAAAAAAGTGATCCTCGGGAAATTTGATCTCCAATTTTTGTCTTTCCAAAGATCTTCCACTAAAGAGCAAGAGCGAGTGTATTTTTTCTCGTGACATACAAGAAAACAATATATAAGGATGGGCGTCGTGTTTGTCGAACATATGAATGGCAGCAGACTCTATTCATGTTTGCACTGCTACACGAATCTCTCCAACAGGAGCCAGCTGATCAGCACGCGCTTCACGGGCGGCTCTGGGCGTGCCTTTCTCTTCAGGAAAGTCGTCAACGTCAAATTCAGGTGAGTATTTTTAAATAATTGTGTCTCTTGCTGGCATAAAATTTTTTTTTCACTTATTTTTTTTTTTATCAGTTATTCGTACCGACGAACCTTCATTTTTATCAAGCTGCTTTTTTTTTGTCAAATTAAACAACTTAATGTACTTAATTTATAATTCCACTACATCGTACACTGTTGTATCTTGAGCATGAGACCTGAAATTTGTTTAAAATTTGTTTAATCTTCACATTATTGATGAGATGATATAATATCTAAATGAAAATGAAAAATTCAACAAAAGCTCTAAAAATACCAAATCTATGTTTACACGCTTTTATTTCTAATTAGGTATATGATATTATCAATAATTTACGTGCATTAAAATTTTCAGTAAAGCTATGGACAGAATAATGTTGACGGGTCGCCACATTGTACGTGATGTCAGCTGTAAGAACTGCAATTCAAAGCTAGGATGGATGTATGAGTATGCTCATGAAAAATCACAAGAATACAAAGAGGGCAAAGTTATCTTGGAAAGAGCCTTGATCACGGAAACTAACGGCATTGATGAATATGTCTGTTTTGATAATTAGATAAGATAATACATTTTTAAACTCATTTTAATTTTGTTACATTATATTATGATTTGAGATACTTTACGAATTATTTGTATAAGTTTTGCATTGAGTTATTAAAATTAGTCTTAAGGACATGAACTGTACGAAACTATATAAGGTATGGACTTTATATAACCCAATTGATGCGTTTAAAGATTATTATTGATTGTGGGTTTTGTTAAAATGTCTCATTGAGCAAAATTATCAAAACAATTAGTTACGTATTTAACTGAAATACCACTATGATCATATGTTCCCTTTGTTTATTAATATAAAAGTGTTCAGGAGTACATAATTTTAAAACAATATATTTTTGATATTAAGAAGTATAGATCACGTTTAACGTGATGTTATTATGATATTTTGTACATCAACTTATTTAGTAAAATACCTGTATGTACATTAAGAGAAATAAAGTTGCAACTCGAAAAGTAATACAGTTGAAATTTAACTGTATTGGTATAAAATGTATGAAACTTAATTTAAAGTTCATGATAAAATGAATATTATTTTTGAAAGATACTTACAATAAAGAACAAAAACATATAAAACCATTATTTCAGAGTTTTTTTTTCTACTCATATCTTTGGTTAAATTTGCTTTTTTATTTCATATAAAATTTTATTTTATTCAATTTGTGTTTCATAAGAAGTATTTTTTTTTTTTAATAAAATTTTAACTATTAATTAAACTTTATCAATTTGCTGAATAAAAAATAAAGGCGCATAGGGCTTTTAAATCTAAAAGTACAAGTACCTACTTCAAATTTGCCGCTTTTTTGCTTCTTTGTAAACTCGCTTTGAATACCTCAAGCTAGACATATGCACACACATGAAGTTGGTTTGCCTGTGTGCTTGTGCTTGCTCGCTTCGTAAAAAAAAACATATCTTCTTTTGTGAATACACGCCTCACGATGGCTGAAGTGAGTTACTTAATTTTACAATTAAATCCACAAAAATCTATTACATCTTCGCGTTTTCGTTATAAGAACAATTAAAATCTTGTTGTTCATTGCTTCAATTAAAATTTTGTTAATTTATCACTAGAAAAAAGAAATTACTTTGATTTACCCGTGAACTCGGAAACTTTAATCATTTGTTAGGGGTTAGCTTTTGTAATGGTTTATAAGTGTTATTTGTTGTTTTTAGGTCGACGAGACCCTCAAGAAGAAAAGGACCTTCAGGAAGTTCACCTTCCGAGGTGTCGACCTAGACCAGCTCCTGGACATGCCAAAGTGAGTGTATATGTTTTGTTTTTGCTTATCAGTACGCTACGTGCGAGTCAATTCAAAGTGTGTGTCATGATGAGTTTGTTATTTTTGAGATGAGATTCCGTTATTTATTCATTAAGTTATTCAAGTGTGAACAGTCAGTGAAAAGTTATGGAATCCTTTTACACAGAATAAAAAGTCACTAAATGTATCATAGGTTAGAATGTGTCCTCTAATGATAATAATGCGAAATCCAAGCTGTTTTTTAATCTAAATTTAAGGCTTTCATGTATAGATGCTTCCTAAATACATTTATCATTACAACTTTTATTTTAGAAAAGCTTGGAGCACAATAATTATCTGAGTACTGTACATAATTTATAAACACTGTAATTTGATGGTTAAAAAGATATATTTCCCTTTTTAGTGAGCAGCTAATGGAACTGATGCACGCCAGAGCACGGAGACGTTTCTCGCGTGGATTGAAGAGGAAACCAATGGCACTTGTCAAAAAGCTGCGCAAGGCCAAAAAAGAGGCTCCTCCAAATGAGAAGCCTGAAATTGTCAAAACACATTTGAGAAACATGATCATTGTTCCAGAGATGGTTGGATCCATCGTTGGTGTGTACAACGGCAAAACTTTCAATCAGGTTGAAATCAAACCTGAAATGATTGGACACTACCTTGGAGAGTTCAGTGTTACTTATAAGCCTGTGAAACACGGTAGGCCAGGTATTGGTGCTACCCATTCTTCTCGTTTTATACCTCTGAAGTAAAGTATTATAATAAATTTTATCTAAAAAAATCATCACTTTTTCATTTACTCCTACATTACTTACATAAAAATTTAATAGTGCATTATAAATTGCATAAATATTTGCATCGTACAAACCACACTATTATATAGCATAAAAAAAAATTACTCTACAGTTACCCTGTTCTTCACCCTACTGTCGATACTTACTCTCTATATATGCGCAAAATTGAACAATTCCAGAACATACCGCAATTTTATTAGTATTCTTGATGTTGTTTAGTTGTTAAAGTACATACCAAAAGACCAACAAAGTTAACTACTTTGCATGCTGAGTCAAAGATTTTTTTAAAGCTACATGTATCTGAATTCATTAGGATTTATCTGTTAAAATGTAGTTTTAAATATAAAAAATTACCACTGCTAAAACACTACCGATATTTTTTGTTTGATGAAATTTTCAATTTTGTTATCGTAAATGGAACACATGTATGCCACTTTCCAAAAAAAGTCAGTGTCGGGGTCCCGTAAGTCTTCGAGTTGAATCGAGGCAGAAAAACGAATCGCATGTAAACAGCACTTCCTCTACTAGGAATGGTAAATTGTAAGTAATCTTTCGAAACTGGACAAACGAGTAAAACAAAAGACGTGAAGAGTTGCGAAAGTACTTTTGAGCCTGGAATTATATTGTCTTTTTTAGGATTTCACTCTTAAGCCATCGATATATTTTATATAACAACGGTATTGGTAATATTTTTGTTTGATCGACAATATCATAAAGACGCCCCTCATGCATTCGAGCAAGATTTAATATCTAATTGATCGAGCTTGTATGCATGAGCGTGTCTTTAATAAATTTTGTTTGTGTGTGTGCATCACTGAATTGTTTATCTCCAGCACCAAATAATGATGTAATTTCATTTTGTTGCTTATTTTCGTCAACCATCTGTTTGTTGTTGTTCTTATTGTTGTCGAAAAACGTTGATAAAATATCGTTACTAATGGAAGAGGAAGGAAAAGTAAAAACCATATGGTCCAGCTCAAATACGCATCTACCTCTGCAGCAGAAGTAAATTAATTATACTTAGCCGAGCTTTACGAACTTTGAATTAGAGCATCCACGTTGAAGGGGTACAGTGAGTATTGAGTATTATCGTATGTTTCGGTCCCTGCAACAATTTTTAACTTATACCTATTTACGCACTAATATAACTCGATATAACAACCAACTCCTCAATCAAATGATGGATTAATATTTCTTTCTTCTTCAGAAGAAAAATTTTTTCAAAAGTAATGTACATGCAACATACAACCTCAATAAATCCGAAATATATGCCCCGTGGCCGCGAGCTTGCGCACCCTTTGCTCCTCGCGCGCGCAAGCTCATCAGGTGCGAAAGAAATGCAACGTGTTACAAAAGCGAAAGCTCCTCTCTCAATCTATATACAACATATATTCTTCTGCAAGTACGAAATATATATGACGACGATAGCCTTGAATCGCATTGATCCGCCAGCCGAGCTTGCACTTGCAAGAGACGAGGATCCGCGATGCATGGCTCACGATGCAGTTTGCCAAAGAATGCCAAGCATGCAAGTCCTCCTCGGAGAAACAAGCACGCTCTGCTCTCTCTCTCTCTTGCAAATTCGCCGTTGTATCGCATTCAATAAACTCATCATATTTTATTCTCTCCCACGACAATAAATGCGGTGAACCGTGAAAATAAAGTACCACCGCGATAACAACTTTAATCGATTTTACACGGGATGAACGTTAAGTCGTGGGTCGATTCAACATTAAGAGCGGCCTGTAAGCCTCGTTAAGTCCATCGAAACATCTTACTCATTGGCACACCGTTTAGATGACAGATAATAATGAAAAACGCGCGTGCGGTGCGGCTCCAAATAATTTGTTGTTTGATAAGAAGTAATCACACGAACGTAAACAAAGTGTCGAAGCACGTGAAACAAGAAAAAAAACAAAAAAAAAAAAAAAACAGCAAACACGTCAGGTCGCTTTCCAGTTTCGTTGCGCGGGGTCGGGCCGAAGTAGGTCGAGCAAGTTATTTTCAGTTCCTCGCCACACACACCTGACGCTGATCGTGGGACAGCAGTGTATAGGTACCCGCATCCCTTTTCTCCCCCAAATAGCGTCGCAACAATGTTCAACAGTACCAATGAAAACAAAGTGAATACAATGAAAAAGAAAAAAAACAACAACCATCAATAATGCATACACAAGCGCGCGACATGATGAACGAGTTCAATGATTGATACCGATCATTATGTGAATCGTTCCGACATGAGTACAAGTCTCGATTTGACAGCAGACATGGTGAACGAGGCGCGAGAGAAGCTCGTCCTGCACTGGAACTACCGGGGCCTCTCCGAGATTCCCGAGGCGGTGCGCCACGTCGGGGCGCAAGTGCAGGAGATCTACCTCAAGTGGAACGAGCTAAAGAGCTTGCCGATCTGGCTGGCCGATTTTGCGAGCGTGACGAACCTCTACCTCTACGGCAACAAAATCGAACGGTTGCCCGATACCCTGGGACTCATGACTAAACTTACGGTGCTCGATCTCAGTGCCAATCGGCTCGAGGAGCTTCCCGATTGTTTGGGCTCGCTCGAGGCTCTCCGCTCGCTCCTTCTCAATCAGAATTACATAGCGTCCCTGCCAACCTGTAAGCCTGTATAATATATGTATGCGTTGCACAAAAGATTTTTCTTCTTTTTTCCCTTCTCGTGTTCCTTTTGCTTTAAAGCCATGAGTAAGCTGCGGAACCTCGAGTACTTGTGCCTGTCGGGAAACCAGTTGGTCGTCCTTCCGGAGTGGCTCGGCTCGCTGCCAAATCTCGCCGAGCTATTTGCCGACAACAACAACCTACGAGAAATTCCAAACAGACTGACGCTGTCGACATCGCTGGACACGCTGTCGGTTTGCTCCAATAAACTGAGCCACCTGCCCTTGAACGGATTCGCGTCCTCTCCGCAGATCCGCTTCGACTCAAATTCCAGGCTGAACTACCTGTCGCTGCCCGTCTTTTGCCAGCTGGTGTCGAAATTGCGCCAGTCGCCAAGCCAAGGGAACACCATAGCTTATGGGTACGCTGTGAGCGTTAAAGATAAATTTTCCGCCCTCGGGTGGTTTTGGGAGGCTGGTACTTCCTCGGGCGAAAAAGCAGTTTTCCGGAACTCGTTCGAAAAGTCTCCTTTACGAACCTCGTTACGTCCCTCGCCTTCGGCTCGGGCCGCAAACCTCTCGGTTCGCAAACAGAGACTTTTCAAACTCGTAGGAAAACTACCATTCTTTACATTTTTCGCTGTAGGTGTATACATACATACATAGTAAACATGTATACATATCTGGTTATTTCTCAGGTGCTTTGGATCGACGAGCAATACAACGTTAAGAAGCGCCAACGTCAACATTCAACTATCGCTGGTACCTGAAAGCAATCCCAGTGAGCACAGCAAGAGCATCGTTATTGAATTACCGAGACAGTTGCTGGTTGTTCATGGTTTTTGCGATAACGGGGTTGTTTCCCTGTGGGAGTTGTCGCTCAGAAAAGTTTACTCAACCAGGTACTTACGGACAAAGCGGACGATATGTTTTGCAAGTAACAGAGCATAATATTATTATCGAGTCTTGTTGTTGTCTTTCCAAGGTTTCGCCACACTCTCGACATTTGTTTGGATCCGATGGATCCGAGCAGCGTGCTCGTCCAGCGACAAGTAATCGAACGATGGAAAACGGCCGAGTATTACACGAAACTCTTGACGCACTGTGATTTTATCTCAAATGGTCCGACTAGTGTATGCATGCGCAATTCGTGCGATGAACCGATTTTCACGGAAGCTTGGATTGCTTTTGGAATCGGACGAAATGCTCTATTCGTTCCGACTATTGTGATTTTTTGCAGCCACAGGTACTTATGTTTTCTTATGATTTCTTTATATTGCCTACGATATTAAATTTTATCTAATTGGATTATCGTATTATTTTCACAATCGTAGGTGCGCTGTGGAATTTGTCAAGTCTTCGAGTTTTACAGAAAATTACGATATGTACGTCATACAGAGTTAAGACACGTTTTTATTTGTATATATTATTTATTTAAATAAAATTGAAATAAAAAAAAAAGTCTAACGGTCAAAGCGTCACGTTTTTCATTAGGTAATAAAATTTATTATTTACACATGTGTCGTATGTAAATGCAACATTACTATAAGCAATCCAAATACGTTTCGTACGCTCTTATTACGACTTCTTGAACTTTATCAAGACTGACTTGTTTTGTGAAAATAGAGTATTTAAATACCTTAGAAAAAAAATACTCACAATATTTTACATTTATAAAATTAATTTAACAACGTTCCAATTATATTTTCTCAGCAGCACTTATTTACAATCCATTGAAACGTTATCAAATTAAGCGATCAGATAATCAAGGGCACTGTCACGATCGATGTCGCACTTTAATAATGCTATTGACGCTTGGTCTTCGGGAAATCCCAAGTCCCTTAGTGTGCACAGGCTTTCGTAATATACTTTGGCTTTATGTTTATCGTACTGGGTTAAAGATAAAGCTTTCACAGCTTCGTCTTCCGACATACCGAAATCTTCGAGGGATTGTATGGCTAATAAGTATTTGACAATTTTTTTCTTGTCCTCTCCTTTGAGATCACATATTGCACGCGTCACTCGAGGCAACGAGAAACCCATGTCACTCAAACGTTTCGCCAAATTTTGATCTTCAAGCGGTAGATCTGCCAACTTTCTGGCTATTTCTTTTGGGTCCATGTATGTTTTTTCTTTGGGCACCTCTGCAATTCTTCTAAAACTAGGACTTTCAAGATCAGACAACGAACTATGATTCTGAAATATTTATAATACGATTACTCGCGTATTCTTAGAAAATATAACAAATCAGATTACTAGATACACCAATGAGCTAATTACACAGAAATAAAATATTACCTCTATACTCGATTGATCAAGTTCTTTTTGAAGTTCTTGAACAATCAAAGACACCTCGCTCTGCTTTACATCCGTGTGCTTATTACTATTGACAGATTCATCATTTTTTCTAAAGTCAATTGTAACTTTATCTTCCTCTTTCACCTCATCTAAACTTTGGTCCATTGTCAAATCTTTCATTCTAGTTTCCAGATTTGGATTCGGTGCCCATTGCGTTGTTGTAGGTTGTTGAAGCACCTAAATTAGTAATCAAAATTGAATGTTGTACATACTATTAAGCATCATATTATTTAATACCTGGGCTAATGCCTCCATGTCGTTGATAGTCTTCAATTCCATGTTGTCGAAAGGACTACTCATGTCGACATCAAATTCTTTATAATTGAATTGACACTTTTCAAGTCCGTTTGAAGAAGATGAAGGTTGAGGTGTAAATATCGATGCTTCTGTGGCAGGAGCCATTTGGACGGGAGAGGTTGTTAGTTCTTGGGAATTCGGGGATAATGGAGGAGGTGACTTTTCAGCCTCGATTTTGCGTTTTTCTTCGATTCTGGCACGTCTAGCTTCCGTGGCAGATAGTCTGGCCTTGCGCCATGCTGTTGCCTGAAATCGACAATAAAAAAAAAAAAAAAAACATTGTCATCTTCAAGTACTTATTATAACACATAAAAAGAGTCGTTTGACCAAAATATTTACCTTTTCAAGCAGCCTTTTCTCACGACCAAAGTCGTAAGTGCACTTGTCAAGGTCAGGCATTTTTGAATAAAAAGCTGGTGGTGGGATGATCTTCTTTGGCTGCTGGTACGCCTCGGCTATCTCGACCTGTACGCCGTCCATGTAAGTGGCAACCGATTCGTACTGGGCACTTGACCTTGCCATTACGTGTACCGTTTGGAGTTATAGTCCCCTATAATCTACGTGATGATTTATTAGACGGAAACTCTAGTAAGGAAAAGTATATCACAGCTGCACTAGAGATGACAGGGCTTTTTCTAGAGCTCTTTTCGCAGTGTCAATAACTATGGCCAATATAGAAAATACAACTGTGCGCTTTGGAAACATACAGGTAAAACATCTCCAAGAAGATGACAGAGGCAACAGCAAAATAATTACTTGATGTACAAACATGAACTGAGCCTTGGCTCGGGTAGCCTGGAGCTCGTTATCGTCGTCGCGTTAAGCCAAAGTATAGGGTAAGCGCACCAATACGCTCCTCTGATCATTTCACTAGCCGTTCCTCGGCGTCCTATCGAGCTGGATATGAATAAACGTACGCGTAGACGACTATGTTACCCTACGTGAAAAAAACTATGTGATGTTTGACAGGTCATATAAACTCGAATCCACAGAAGTGGCCATATTGAATATTTTTATATATACAATAGGTTTGTTCAAGCCAATTCTCGGTGAGCCTCCCGGAGAGTCTCTCCGAGGTCGAGAATCGAGAACGAGAATTGGCTAGAACAAACCTAATGCAACCTTACCCAACTCGTGGTTTTTGCGCAACACGTGACTAGTCGCTCGCGCGGATGTTTTTCCGAGTACTTGCGCATATTGCTACGGTCGGAAGCCCCAATCTTGTAAATAGATAATAAAAAGCTCACGTTGTCTGTGCTATTTGCGGCAAGTTTACAATTTATCTTTTACCCAAAAATCGACCTCCTGTATATTTATATTTTTGGAGGTAGATTTTTCGGTAAAAGATAGATTGTAAACTTTCCGCAAATAGCATACATCATGTTAACTTTTTATTGTCTATCTATACAATCAATTGCGGCTGGTTTATAATTAATGAAGTGACTTTACTGTAAATAGCAATAATTATTTGGATCAGCGCCATCTAGCGGTCTTTATTTTTTGGCCAAAAGTGGCTCCTAAAATTCTCAATCAGAGCAATCAGGATTAGAGCCATTTAATCAATTATAAACCAGCCGCAACTCACTTGGTAGCTATAAAATGAAAAAATAACGATACATGTGTTTTTGGCGGCAAGTTAACAATCTATTTTCTATCAAAAAATTGACCTTCTATGTATTTATGCTTTTGAAGATAAATTTTTGAGCATAAGATAGATTGTAAACTTGCCGCCAAAAACACATATATCGTTATTTTTTTATTTTATAGCTACCAAGTAAGTTGCGGCTGGTTTATAATTGCCTAAATGGCTCTAATCCTGATTGCTCTGATTGAGAATTCTAGGAGCCACTTTTGGCCAAAAAATAAAGACCGCTAGATGGCGCTGATCCAAATAATTGATTCTATTTACATAGGAGTCATTTTATTAATTATGAACCAGCCGCAACTAATGTTATTAATAGACAATAAAACATTTACATTTTTTGTGTTATCTGCGGCAAGTTTACAATTTATCTTTTATCCAGAAACCGACCTCCAAAAGTATTGATATTCTACTTATATGGTTTAATAAAATCGACCATATGTCACTACTTAGAAGTGATTACTATAAGTAGTTCAACATCTAATTCTTGTTATAAAAAAATTATTTGTCTGCCTTTTACATTACAAAATAATTGTTCATCACTATATAAATATAGCCCTTGATTTAAAAAAGCCAAGTTTACTTCTATCCTTAGTGACGTCACTGACGTTTGCTGATATACACATGCACATACACATGTGTGTGTAATGTAGCAGAAGAAACTCAATATTGAAAAACTGGTAGTCGAAACAAAAACAATGCCTATATATATAAATAACGAAAATAAACTATTAAATGAACATCTTTAATATTATCAAATATAATTGTCGTGAATGTACTTAAACTAGTTTTGATAAGCTGTAAATTATTTTTTGATTGTATAAGAAAAAGGCCCCGTTTGTTTTGGTTGATAGTGTTTTAGGTTATGCATTACAATGAAAAATTACATGAAAAATATTATATTGCTACTGTTCACAATTTTAGGTAACATAGAAAACAAAATTTTTTAATGAAAGTCATTTATTTAAATCTTATATTTCCCAGTTGTACAAGTTACCACAATAGCTTGCAATGATGGTGAGGAGATTCTAAATCCAACAGAGATGATTAAGGTCAGCAAAGAGTCATCATCAATGGAAAAAAGTAATGTTACAATCACGGACCCAAACACAATAAACTTTACCAAAGTAAATTGCTTGACTGATAAAACCTATGGACCTGTTGAGGTAATGTCATGGTTAGTCAAATCTAAATTAATTCATTTCTTCATTTCAGTTGTTTGAAATTTTTTTTAGATTGTTAACCATACACGTTTGATGGAACTTTTAATTTTGGAGAAAGGAGCACCAAATAGAACGAGAAGTAGTAAAGAGGATAAAGCATTACCAGGAGTATGTATTTTTATTATGTTCTATGCAAGGTGGTGTGTGTTTAGTAGTCAAGCAGCTCCACACTTCAATGCCATCCCAAGGTTTTATCCACACATAAAAGTTGCGGCCATTGATGCAATGAAATATCAAAAGTAAGCAACAAAAAAAAAAGATTTCAGAACAAAAAAGATTGATATTAATTGTTTTTTTAAATTCTAGTTTTAATACTCAGTATGGCATTGTTGGAGTTCCCACTTTAATGCTGGTGCACAATACAAAGCCTGTCGCCAAGTTTAATGAAACAGTTTATACACTGGAAACTTTTTCTAAATTTATATCTCACCTGACGAATCTGCAGCCAAACGAATCTTTGTTCGTCACATCGGCAGATTTCAGTGGGCCAGTTTCCAGTGTTCCCTCAAATGAGACAGACTACTGCTTAGTCTTATCGTGGATATTCATATCAGCCTGTTTACTTTACTTTACAACAAAGAGTCAGTGGTGGAGGCAATTTATAGAACTTGTACAGAATACATGGAGAGAAAGCAATGCTCAACACGAGCATGCCGATTGAAAACTTGTTTGCGCTAAATACAAACTTATCAGTTATTTATGAAATTGTATTTATTCGTCGCTTACTGCGATATTAATAGTTAAGAAATCTGTATCTATATTTTTCATTGTGTAAATATCAAGGAAAATTTGCTATTTAACAAAATAAGATTTGATTTTTTTTTAATTTTTACTAACCTATACTTCATATTCTTTAAAATTATTATTTAACCTTTAATATTATTTAGTGTGAACAAAAAAGCTGATATCGTGTACAATACCTTTGACATTTTGTTCTTCTAATACCACTATAGGGTGTGTATGAATAAAAATTGAAATATAAAAGATTTAGAAACGTAAGTACATCTTCCAAATTAAAAAAACAAAAATCATTACAAGAAAATTAATACAGAAAAACACTGCACATTTCTTATTCCTTAAATGGTAACCTGCTACTACAAGTCTGTTTGAAAATGACGCCGAAAAAATTTACTGTTGGCCGCACTGGCGCCGCGGCCGCCGCGTGTGCCCGCCAACAGTTCTGCCAACGATAAAACATAAATAGTCAGAATTCAATGAAATCCGTCGAATGAGCGCAAAAAACACAATGCGATGTATTGTAATGGCGACGATGTAAACAATCACTGTGTTCCTTGAAGTTTTGTTTATTCCACGGTAAGTTCGTTAACAATTTTCTGTACTTAAAACATTAAGTACCGTCGAATAAATTATTTACTCTGCTCAGCAGGTCTCGCACAATTGTATACAATCCACGTATCAAAAACCTAAGCAATGATGCATCGACGCGGGGGCAAGCGTATACGGATGGACGATCCGGTGCCTCCGGAGTACGAGACGGCAATCACTACGAACGAAAACTATGGAGTCGACAACCCAGACACATCCTTCGGCTCGCACTCGTCTCACGAGTACCAGGACTCTGGTGCCCTGGACAACGAGATCCCGAATTCATTGAGCAACATGCGTATCACCAGGAACACCCGAGCACGGCTACGCGGTGGCCCGATTCAGCAGCCCAAGTACAAGGAGATCGACGAGGACTTTATACCTCATGTACCAAAGGATCCTATTAAGCCTCGCGCCGGTGGCCGAGGACGCGGCAAAAAAACACATCAAACTCACGCCCTCGAAGACGAAGCCAGTCTTTACTTTGCGGTAAGAAATAGCCGCTCCTCGCTCTCGGGCATCGTCGACGAGTGGATTGAAAAATACAAGCTCAACAGGGAAGGCGCGCTACTCATGCTAATGCAATTTTTCATCAGCGCAAGTGGTTGCAAGGGTACTATTACTCCAGAGATGCAGTCTTTGGAACACGTACACATCATCAGAAAAATGACAGAAGAATTCGACGAGGAAAGTGGAGAGTATCCTTTGATCATGGCTGGGCAGCAATACAAAAAGTTTCGGTCTAACTTTTGCGAGTTTGTGCAGATTTTAGTACGCCAGTGTCAATATTCCATTATTTACGATCAGTTCTTGATGGATCATATAATCTCTCTGCTCACTGGATTGTCCGATTCACAAGTCAGAGCTTTCAGACACACTGCAACTTTGGCAGCTATGAAACTAATGACTGCTCTTGTGGATGTTGCATTGACTGTGTCTATTAACATAGATAATGCCCAGAGGCAGTACGAAGCTGAACGTCAGAAGGCCAAAGAAAAAAGAGCTGCCGACAGATTGGAATCATTAATGATCAAGAAGAAAGAGCTTGAGGAAAATATGGATGAAATCAAGAACATGCTCACGTACATGTTCAAATCGGTCTTTGTGCACAGGTACAGGGATACTCTGCCGGAAATTCGTGCCATTTGCATGGCAGAAATTGGAGTTTGGATGAAAAAGTTTCACCAAAACTTCCTTGACGATTCCTATTTGAAGTACATTGGGTGGACTCTGCACGACAAAGTAGGTGAGGTCAGATTAAAGTGCTTGCAAGCTCTGCAGCCTCTTTATGCCTCAGAGGAGCTTAAAACAAAACTTGAGCTCTTTACAAGTAAATTCAAAGATAGAATTGTAGCCATGACTCTGGATAAGGAGTACGATGTTGCAGTACAGGCAGTCAAATTGGTTATTTCAATCTACAAACATCATCGAGAGATTCTCACTGACAAGGATTGTGAGCATGTTTACGAATTAGTGTACTCATCTCACAGGGCTGTGGCTCAAGCAGCTGGTGAGTTTGTTAATGAAAGATTCTTCATGTCCATCGAAGAAGTTGAAGTCAAGACAAAGAGAGGCAAGAAGCGTTTGCCCAACACACCTTTCATCAGAGATTTGGTCTTGTTCTTCATTGAATCTGAACTTCACGAACATGGTGCTTATCTAGTGGATTCCTTGATAGAAACAAACTCAATGATGAAGGATTGGGAGTGCATGACAGATTTGCTAATAGAAGAGCCAGGACCCAATGAAGAGCCCCTTGACAACCAGCAAGAAACTTCTCTCATAGAAATCATGGTTTGTTGCATTAGGCAATCCGCTACTGGTGAAGCTCCGGTTGGCAGAGGCCCGACGAGGAAAATTCTGTCAGCCAAAGAAATTAAACAAGTACAAGAAGACAAGCAAAAACTGACGGAACACTTCATCCCAGTTTTGCCTATTTTGCTCGACAAGTACCGTGCCGATCCTGAAAAACTCACTAATTTGTTGTCGATACCTCAGTATTTCGAATTAGACATCTACACAAAATCTCGCCAAGAACAAAACTTGGATCATCTCTTAACCAAAATACACGACATTGTCGAACGCACTCACAATACTGATGTCCTGGATGCAGTTGCCAAAACTCTAGAATACATGTGTGTTCCTGGCTCGGCTATTTTCCGAAGGTGTGATGTAGCCAGATTGAATCTTATCGACTCTATCGTTCTCAAGTACAAGGAAGCCATGGGTGCCTTTAAGTACGTCATAGATGGTGGCGAGCTGCCAAACGAGGACGATATTTTCAGCGTCGTGGAGTCTCTGAAGAAAGTTGCCATTTTCTTCAGCTGCCACGACATGAACACGTCCAACATTTTTGATTTGTTGTTCAATGACATCAAGGAGTCGCGTTACCGTTTGCCAGACGAGGCAGTTAAGTACTGCATTATCGCATGTTCTTTCTCGATTATGTGGTCACAGAACAATTTGATCGAAAACGTTGACGCCGATACCAGAGCTGGCGAAGAGACGCGCAAATTAAAATCCAGACTGCACGACTTTATCGCCTACATGAGTTACTTTATCAGCACATCGGAGGATGAAATCTCGGTTTTACTCAAAGAAGAAGCCTACAATACGATCTGCGATCTTCTGGTTCTGTTCTGCAACCAGCTGTCATCCCACAAAAATCCGCTAATTCACCAGCTGATTTACGAAGCTGATCAGAACATGGTGGACATGCTGAATGGTTTCGTTCAGCAGTACGTATTCTTTGAGGGCGAGGAAAACGATCACGACGAGCACTCGAGAATCGCGGAGCTGCATAAAAAACGTAACTTTCTTGCCGCTTTTTGCAAGCTCATAGTTTACAATACGATCCCCACGAGGGCAGCAGCTGAAATTTTCAAGCACCACGTGAAATTCTACAACGACTACGGGGATATCATCAAGACGACGATCGGCAAAGCGCGCGATATCAACAAGATCAACTGCGCGCTCACGATGCAGGCCAGTTTGAATATTCTGTACAATGAAGTTGCCGGAAAGGAGGAGAAGGTCAATCGCAACAGCGAGGAATTCATGTCGATCAAAGAGTTGGCCAAGCGTTTCGCTCTGTCCTTTGGTTTGGATGCCGTTAAAAATCGCGAGGC